AATCATTTTAGATGGAACTAGTGTCATTCAGTGGTTAGAAGCACCTGAGAAGCACACCCATTAAGTTTTATATCTCTGAGAATAGTGACATGATTCTACCCCGAATGCTAAACAAATGAGATCTATAGTCCAATATATTTTCATTTTCTAATGGGGATTTTTACATTTTTTTTTCTTTAATTAATTTATTTGAGACAGTGTCTTGCTCTGTTTCCCAGGCTGGAGCGCAATGGCATAATCTCAGTTCACTGTAACCTCTGCTTCCTAGGTTCAAGCAATCCTCCCACCTCAGCCTCTTAAGTAGCTGGGACTACAGGCACATGCCACCATACCAGGCTAAATTTTGTATTTTTTGTAGAGGTAGGGTTTTGCCATGTTTCCCAAGCTGCTCTTGAACTCCTGAGCTCAAGTGGTCTGCCCGCCTCGGCCTCCCAAAGTGCTGGGATTACAGGCATGAGCCACTGTGCCTGGCTTATTTATTTATAGAGCTGGGGTTTTGCTATGTTGCCCAGGCTAGTCTTGAACTCCTACGCTTAAGTGATCCTCTTGCTTCAGTTTCCCAAAGTGCTAGGATTACAGGTGTGAGCCACTGTGCCCAGCCATATATTTTAATTGCATTGAGTAATCATGAACAAATGATCTACTTGGCTTTTGAGTTCATGAGATGATAACTTTAAGGAGGTTTGAGAAATGTTTCTCAGGGGCGTAAACACAGTATCTACAATTTAAATCACGAGGACTTCATTCATTTATTTGGCAAATATTTACTAAGTGCCAGCTATCTACAAGGCATTTGCTAACTATTAATACTATAAACGTAGTTGAAAAGGTCCTTCCCTGTAAGGTGCTGGAAAAACTTCCTTCACCTGGGACCTTCCTTCACGTGGGAGGAGGAGGGAAAGGAGATTAGGTGGGAGTTTCAGGAGGAGGGCATACTTTTTAGGGAAAAGTTAGAATTGCATATATGGTGTTGAAAGGGACAATGAAGAGCCTTGGCAAAAGAGTGAAACTGGGAAAGCTTGGATTGTGTCTAAGAAAATAGGGTGCGGGGACAGCCCAAATGGTGAGAAACAGTGGAAATCAGATGTAGCCCCAAGAAGTCAGGGCCAGTATCTGCTGTGTCTGTTCAAATCTGAATCTACAGCGCCAAGTACAGTACTTCCTTTCCTAGGCACCCAGTATGTATTTATCGAACAAATGAATGGATGAGAGGTATTTTGGATTCAGATTATGGAATGCCTCTGTATTAGTCTGTTTTTGCATTGCTATAAAGAAATACTTGAGACTAGGTAATTTATAAAGAAAAGAGGTTTAATTGGCTTATGGTTTTGCAGGCTGTGCAGGAAGCATGTGCTAGCATCTGTTTGGGTTCTGGGGAGGCCTCAGGAAACATAATCATGGCAGAAGGCAAAGGGGGAGCAGGCACAGTCACATGGCCAGAGCAGGAGCAAGAGCGAGAGAGAAGGGAGGTGCCACACACTTTTAAACGACCAGATCTGGCAGGAACTCACTCACTACCATGAGAACAGCACCAAGTAGATGATGGGGCTAAACCACTGGGGAGAAATTCACCCCTATGATCCAGTCACCTCTCACCAGGCTTTAAAACTGGGGATTACAGTTCTACATGAGATTTGGGTGGGGACACAGATCCAGACAATATCATCACTCTCTAAAGGCCATTCTTAAACTTTATCTTACAGGCAATGGGTAACCACTGACTATTCAGTATTCACTTATTCCACAAGTATTTACTGAAGATTTTAAAGTAGGGAAATGGCATGAATTGAACCATGCTTGCATGAAGATCAATATCTCTAGTTCATTTCCTTGATCCAGATCATAGATATATAAATAACTTATCCAGCAAATGTTCTCAGAACTGAATTAGTTCAAAGACGCTCAGACTACGTAATGGTACCCACCCAGATGCTTTCCTTCCCCCTCCTTAACTGTGATACTGTGGCCCCTGCTGGTCGCTGCCTCCAAGCTGGACAACCACTGCCCAAGAGCTGGGACAACTGTGGAAGGGAACGGTATCAAACTAATTTTGTGTTCTTCGGATTACTTGCTTGTTTGCTTCTTTCCTTAAAAGTTTACTTTAGAGGTCTAGAGGGTGTTAGTCAGAAAAATAGCTTTTTTATACCACAAACGGATCTAGGATATTCCGTATTTTCCAGGGGAAAATGATTTATAGAAAATCTTCCAAATGACCCTGGCTAATTGGATTTGCAGACAGAGTAGGGATGGACATTTTCCATATGAGGAGTTGGGACGGGTGAGCTGTTCGTGCTGTTTCTGGAGCTTGGAGCTGGAGCACTCTGCCCAACCACCCCAATAGATCATGTATACACATGACAAGGCAGGGAAACAAACAGGCAATGCTCTGAAAAGGGATGCATGAGAGCTATTACTTAATATTGTCTTGGAGAAAAAATAAAAGAACAAGAAGGAAAATCTTTTTTGAATGCAGTGCTGTTTTCTTGTGTGCTGAAATTTACTTATTTATTTATTTCATTTTTTGAGACAGGATCTCACTCTTTTGCCCAGGCTAAAGTGCAGTGGCATGATCACAGCTCTCTGCAGCCTCCACCTCCCAGTGATCCTTGCACCTCAGCCTCCCAAGTAGCTGGCACTACAGGCGTGTACCAGGCCTGGGTATTTTTCAAATTATTATTTGTAGAGATGGTGGTCTCCCTATCTTGCCCAGGCTGGTCTCAACTCCTGGGCTCAAGTTATCCTTCCACCTTGGCCTCCCAAAGTGCTGGGATTACAGGTGTGAGCCACCATGCCCAGCCTAAAATTTTTGTCTTGCTAGCTTTTTGTTTTTGTTTTTGTTTTGAGATAGGGTCTCACTCTATCGCCCAAACTGGAGTCCAGTGGTACAATCATGGCTCACTGCACCCTTCACCTCCCAAGCTCAAGTGATCCTCCCACCTCAGCCTCCCAAGTAGCTGGGACTACAGGTGCATGCCACTGCACCCAGCTAATTTTTGTATTTTTAGTAGAGGCTGGGTTTCGCCATGTTGCCCAGGCTGGTCTCGAGCTCCTGGGCTTAAGGGATCCGCCTGCCTCGACCTCCCAAAGTCTTGGGATTACAGGCATGAGCCACCACACCCAGCTTATCTTGTTAGTTTTAACAAGAATGAATTAACTGGGGCCTAGCAAAGAGAAGGAAATCATTCCTGATTTTGGTGAGATGTGTGCAAATAGACAATGTCTAAAAAAGAATGTCATCATGATTAGAACCTTTGTGTTCAAAGGAAAAATTATAAAACCTACATTCATTCAGTAAGTAATTTAAGAACACGCTTTACATCTGATTAGTGCTTTATAATTTCCAAATGCATTAGCATTCATTTGCTCACTTATTTCTCACAGCACCTTTAAGAAGTAGACACTTCTTATGCCAACTGCACAGATGAGAAAATTAAGGCTAAGAGAGGTTAATTGATGGTGCAGTTATTTCAAGCATGGCTGGTCTGACTCCAAGCTGATGCTTTTGCCACTGATGCATGTATTCAGTGTTATTTTCAGCTTTTTTTTTTTTTTTGAGACGGAGTCTCGCTCTGTCGCCCAGGCTGGAGTGCAGTGGCGCGATCTCGGCTCACTGCAAGCTCCGCCTCCCGGGTTCACGCCATTCTCCTGCCTAAGCCTCCCGAGTAGCTGGGACTACAGGCGCCCGCCACCTCGCCCAGCTAATGTTTTTTTTGTATTTTTAGTAGAGACGGGGTTTCATCCTGTTAGCAGGGATGGTCTCGATCTCCTGACCTCGTGATCTGCCCGCCTCAGCCTCCCAAAGTGCTGGGATTACAAGTCTGAGCCACCATGCCCGGCTATTTTCAGCTATTTTAACTATCAAAATTAGTTTTTAACCCTGTTGTTCTGAACTAATGAGAAGTATATGATTTTTTTACCAAAATTCAATAGGACTGATAAAGTCAAAGTCACCAGGAGACCAGAAGGATGGAAAACCTTATTACAAAGTATAGAAATAAATGAATATTTAATGTTTGATAGAGAATGAATTACAGCGACATAAAAAAATGGAAAAATTTTGCCAAAACCCTGTTCAAAGGGAAAACATATGGCTCATTGAAAGATGAGGCACTAAATGGAAACGAGATAAATAATGGAAAATTGTAAATAATTAATGCCTTGGCATGTGTGTGTACTCTGATAAAGACAAAACTTTCTTTTGTCACTTAGTTAACTGGTTTCATGAAGTGAAACAAGTTTAGGACTGAGGGGAAATAGTTTTTTTTTTATTCTCCAATTTAAAACTTTCAATTAAAAAGTAAACTTTAATGTTGAAAATGCTAACTTGGGGAGGGCAGAAATATCACACACAAGGCTGTCACTTCACACTTGGAGGGTTGCACAGCAGCCGGGCAGAGGCGCTCCTCACTTCCCAGACGGTGGGCAGCTGGGCAGAGGAAATAGTTTTATGAGCAATCAGTCTAGGTGTTTCCTGGAGGTCGAGTTTTCAAATCCCACAGATGATCACTGTTTACTCCCTGCTTGGTGTTTCCTTGTGTCATTTTGTGAACAGTAGCTCTGATTATGTCCAAATGTCTGTTGGCTATTTAGTGATGCCCTTTCTCTTCAGGTTTTGAGATAGTGTCCTCAGTTAGCGTGTGTGCCCCCTCTCCCCTCCCACACATATATATATTTTGAGACAAGTTCTCACTCTGTTGCTCAGGCTGGAGTGCAGTGGCATGATCTCGGCTCACTGCAGCCTCAACCTCCTGGGCTCGGTCGGCTGATTCTCCCACCTCAGCCTCCTGAGTAGGTGGGACTTACAGGCACATACCACCATGCCCAGGTAATTTTTGTGTTTTTTTAGAGATGGGGTTTTGCCATGTTGGCCAGGCTGGTCTCTATCTCCTGGGCTCAAGTGATCCACCTACCTCAGCTACCTAAAATGCTGGGATTGCAGGCGTGAGCCACTGCGCCCGGCCAGATAGCAAAATATTTGAACTCTTGTGGATGTGGACAGAATGCATACAGAACATTCCTGGTATGATTCTGTCCTACGCGGCTGTTCTGTGGGGCAGCGTTGGTTTATCTCCGTCCGCCTTCTCTCCCACCGAAGTGCCTGCCGCCACCTGATAGAAGATGCGATGGATGTGGACATGAGCCCCCCGAGGCCCCAAAACAGTCTTTTCGGTTGTGAATTAAAGGCCGACAAAGATGATCACTTTAAGGTGGATAATGATGAAAACGAGCACCAGTTGTGTTTAAGAACGGTCAGTTTAGGGGCTGGTGCAAAGGATGAATTGTACGTTGTTGAAGCAGAGGCAATGAATTATGAAGGTAGTCCAATTCAAGTAACACTGGCAACTTTGAAAATGTCTGCGGTGGCTCACACCTGTAAATCCCAGCACTTTGGGAGGCCAAGGCGGGCGGATCACGAGGTCAGGAGATCGAGACCATCCTGGCTAACATGGTGAAACCCCGTCTCTACTAGAAATACAAAAAAAAATTAGCCAGGCGTGGTGGCGGGCGCCTGCAGTCCCAGCTACTCGGGAGGCTGAGGCAGGAGAATGGCGTGAACCCGGGAGGCGGAGCGTGCAGTGAGCCGAGAGTGCACCACTACACTCCAGCCTGGGTAACAGAGCGAGACCCTGTCTCAAAAAAAACAAACGAAAACAAAAACAAAAACGAAAAAAGAAAATGTCTGTACAGCCAACGGTTTCCCTTGGGGGCTTTGAAATCACACCACCAGTGGTCTTAAGGTTGAAGCGTGGTTCAGGTCCAGTGCATATTAGTGGACAGCACTTAGTAGCTGTGGAGGAAGATGCAGAGTCAGAAGATGAAGAGGAGGAGGATGTGAAACTCTTAAGTATATCAGGAAAGCGGTCTGCCCCTGGAAGTGGTAGCAAGGTTCCACAGAAAAAAGTAAAACTTGCTGCTGCTGAAGATGATGATGAAGATAATGATGATGAAGAAGATGATGATTTTGATGATGAGGAAGCTGAAGAAAAAGCACCAGTGAAAAAATCTATTTGAGATACTCGAGCCAAAAATGCACAGAAGTCAAATCAGAATGGAAAAGACTCAAAACCATCATCAACACCAAGATCAAAAGGACAAGAATCCTTCAAAAAACAGGAAAAAATTCCTAAAACACCAAAAAGACCTAGTTCTGTAGAAGACATTAAAGCAAAAATGCAAGCAAGTATAGAAAAAGGTGGCTTTCTTCGCAGAGTGGAAGCCAAGTTCATCAATTATGTGAAGAATTGCCTCTGTATGACTGAGCAGGAGGCTATTCAAGATCTCTGGCAGTGGAGGAAGTCTCTTTAAGAAAATAGTTTAAACAATTTGTTAAAAATTTTCCGTCTTATTTCATTTCTGTAATAGTTGATATCTGGCTGTCGTTTTTATAATGCAGAGTGAGAACTTTCCCTACCATGTTTGGTAAGTGTTGTCCAGGTTCCATTGTCAAGAATGTGTTGTCCAAAATGTCTGTTTAGTTTTTAAAGATGGAGCTCCACCCTTTGCTTGGTTTTAAGTATGTATGGAATGTTATGATAGGATATAGTAGTAGCAGTGGTCAGACATGGAAATGGTGGGGAGACAAAAATATACATGTGAAATAAAACTCAGTATTTTAATAAAGTGAAAAAAAAAAAAAAGGATGCATGCAGGACACAAGGCAACTGCCAGCACTTTAGTGTGCCTTGGATCCCCCTCTAGGGTCCCTTTTCCTTGCCTTTGTCTTGGCCTCTGACTTGGCCATATACACTGAGGCAATGGGAGATGAAGTGGCCCGGGGACCACCAGTTGCCAGGCAGTGGAGTAGCAGCTGGGGTGTTCAGAGTAGGACCACCGCATAATTCAGTCCCCTCTTGCTATTGCCAGAACTTGCCACCCTCTTCCAGGGGCCTCTGCCTTGGCACATGCAGTTGCCACTATCCAGAAAAGCCCTTTGCTTCCCTTTCAGCTGGGTGGTCCCCACTAGTTCTTTGATAATGGACTCCTTCGACTTCATTAGGACATCCCTGGCGAAAGTGCTGCATTGTGTGCTTCCCCAGCACCTGGGGCGCACACACTTCTCCCTCGCTCTACGATGTGGAAGTCGTCTGTTCACTCGTCTTCCCCGATGGTCTGTGAACAGCGTGACGACGTGGGATGGACACACAACTCACCCTCACGCCCCCAGCACCCGTCTGCCGCTCCCTGTACATGTGCAGATGGACTCAGTGAATGACAGCCGCCGCCTGAATTATTTCAGACAGGTGATTACTGCTGGGAGTTGTGCAAGAACGTCTAAGCAGCCAAGAAAATAGGCATATTTTTAAGCAAATAATTCTTTGGTCTTCATTCACAAGGTGGGAGAGTATTCTATTTCATCACCTGATAAGAGCGTAAAACTGCTGTTCTGTGAAAACCTTTGTTCAAAATATTCTATTTCCTGTAACATTCTTAGCTTCTGACAGGGGGCAGCAGAGCCTAGGAAAACAAAGGCTGGCCCCGGTTAATTGTGGCTTGCACACCTTCGGAGCCAGACCTTTAATGATTTTCAGAAGAAACCAGCCCTTGGTATCTGACAAACCTCTCTGTTGAATAAAGACTTTAAGGTAAAGGCTGGCTTTTATTAAAGTAGTATTCTTTTAAGGCACTGCAAACAACTTACTGTTTTTATAAAAGGAAAAAAAAAAAAAAAGACAAAAAAGAAGGCAAATAACCATCTCTCTCATTTTATCACAGTCTTGAAATAAGATGGATGCTTATTGTTTGCCATGATGCTAGAGCATGAAGTATTTCCAGCTGGTGTTAGGGAGAATGTCGAGATTTACAAATTATGACCAGATGCTGGGGCTATTGTCCCCTCACCCCCATCATCCTGGAAAAAAAAAAAAGACATGGCAAATAATAATAATTAAAAAAAAAAAAAACTTAGGCCAGGCATGGCGACTCACTCCGGTAATCCCAGCACTTTCGGAGACTGAGACTGGCGGATCATTTGAGGTCAGGAGTTCAACAGCAGTCTGGCCAACATGATAAAACCCTGTCTCTACTAAAAATACAAAAATTAGCTGGGTGTGGTGGCACGGGCCTGTAATCCCAGCTACAGGAGGCTGAGGCAAAATAATCACATCAACCCAAGAGGCAGAGGTTGCAGTGAGCCGCGAGCGAGACTCCATCTCAAACCAAACCAAACCAAAACAAAAAAACCAAAAAACCAATGAAAGCAGTTGAGATAATAATGAAAGCAAATGGCCAGAACCAAAATCCTCCTTGCCCCACCCATTATGGCATGAACCCTTGGGGGCCCAGGCTCATGCTTTCTGCCCCTTTCTATGTCCAGTGCCCAGTGCAGGCCTGGTGTGTGGCAGCAGGTGCTTGGCACACGCACGTGGAATTGAAGGAACATCTCTGGCCTGTTCACATCTTAGTTCTCTAGGGGAGTTTCTAAGTCATATATGACACCCAATTGTCCCATAAATATACTCCATGGGGAATGTGCATTCAGAAACATGTACTATCCCATATCTAACTTCAGGGACTCTGCTACTTTGCCATTCTTTAAAGCTATGCAAAGGAGAGCAGGGGAAAGAAAAGAGGGAGGAGTCCCTGTGGTTGCCCATGGGTTTGCACAGGTAAGAGACATACAGGTGGGCTGGATCTGATTGGCAGTAATTTGGCCCTCAGTCCACATGGTCACCTTGAAACCAGGAGTACAGAAGAGGTCTGCAGGGTATCCTAAGGCTCTCTGATGTCTGTCCCCGCCTTAGTCTAGGAGTCCTAGTATAGTTCAGCGGGAATTCCCTCATGTTCTCCTTTCTAGCACTGTATAGCACATTACATGAAGCTTTCTATCTTCTTAGTGTGTTTGTGTTTAGACTTCTGCCTCCAGTACTGTTAGGTTCTGCTTGTACTTCTCAGAGGAAGATTTTTTTTTTTGAGTCAGAGTTATGCTTTTGTCACCCAGGCTTGAGTGAAATGGTGTCATCTCGGCTCACTGCAACCTCCACTTCCCAGGCTCAAGGGATTCTCCTGCCTCAGCCTCCCAAGTAGCTGGAATTACAGGCCTGTCCCACCACACCTTGCTAATTTTTGTATTTTTAGTAGAGATAGGGTTTCACCATGTTGGTCAGGCCCGTGTCAAACTCCTGACCTCCAGTGATCTGCCCACCTCAGCCTCCCAAAGTGCTGGAATTACAGGCGTGAGCCACCACACCTGGCCCTCAGAGGTAGATTTTTATTTTTATTTTTTGAGACAGTGTCTTGCTCTGTCGCCCAGGCTGGAGTGTACAGGCACAACGTGATCATGGCTCACTGCAGACTTGACTTCTTGGGCTCAAGCGATCCTTCCATCTTAGCCTGCTGAGTAGCTGGGACTACAGGCACACACCACCATGCTCAGCTAATTTTTAATTTTTTTGTAGAGATAAGCTTTCACTTTGTTGCCCAGGCTGGTCTTGAACTTCTGAGTTCAACCAATCCTCCCTCCTTGGCCTCCCAAAGTACTGGGATTATAGGCATGAACCACCATGCCTGACCCAGAGGTAAATTTTAAAATGGGGTTCTCAGCAGTTAGTAAGAGCCTGGCCATTTCTTTCAACAATAACTCAGAGCCTCTTACATTGAATTCACCTTCTTCCCTGCTCTCATTTACGGCTTCACATGATTCATCCTGTTTATAGAGACAGCAATTCTCTTAAGGGACAGGACAGGTATTAAGATACCTTTCCTGGTAGATGAATTAGTTGGGACTCAGAGCAGCGACATCCCGGGCCTGTTGGTCACCTTGATTGTTAATGGCAGTACTGAGATGAGAATCCCATTATCCAGGTGTTCCTGGAGCAACTTGGGGTGCTCATTCTTCAGTGAGGGTCTGGATTAGTGAAAGGGTGGGGGAGATCCTGCAACATGGGGATCGAGGAAGAGCATGCATGCTTGGGCTTAGTGCAGTGCCTGACACAATATAGATTATGGGATGTCCCAGCTGTGGGAGTCGCCGAGGGCATGGAGGGGAAGCCGTTCATTAGAGGCAAGCATTTCCACAATAAGGGATAATACGCAGTGGGGTGGGGATGACGGAAATCATCCTCAAAGGAGACAGGGCATCTGGGGCATCTGCGATTGGGCCAGGCTTTATCTGCTCTTTGTAGGCTTTGTTTTATTCAGTTGCCATGACAGCCTTGGAAATAGTTCTCATTATGCCCCTTTCTCCAATGGAACTATTGAGTCACAGGGAAGTCATGTAATTACGAAGACACCTGCACTGAAGGCCTTAGTCATCATTCACATGGGGGAGCAATTCACATGAAGCATTGTGTGAATGAAGCCTCCCGAAATTACACAGCATCATACAGTTATTAGCAGGTAGAGTTCAGATTCACACTTTGGTTCTCTGGCTCCATAGCCTGAGTTCTTAGCACTACTTCACTCTGCATCTTCTGAGACTTTTTTTTTTTTTCTCTTGAGACAGAGTCTCACTCTGTCACTTAGGCTGAAGTACAGTGGAACAATCTCAGCTCAGCACAGCCTCCATTGCCTGGACTCAGTTGACCCTCTCACCTCAGCCTCCTGAGTAGCTGGGACTACAGATGTGTGCCATCATGCTCAGCTCATTTTTTGTGTTTTTTTTTTTGCAGAGACAGGGTTTTGCCGTATTGCTGGGGCAGGTCTCGAACTTCTGAACTCAAGCTATCTGCCCACCTCAGCCTCCCAAAGTGCTGGGATTACAGGTGTGAGCCACCGTGACCGGCTTCTGAGACTATTTTTTTCTGGAACCCAACATTGCCCAGTAAGGCTCAGATTTATGTATGTCTCTACTCTTACAAGGGAGAACCTTGTACAGGTTATAGAAAAATAAACTCTGGACTGGGGGTTAGACTTCTGGGTCTGCCACTGACCTGTGTGACCTTGGCCAGTCACCTCCCCTCTGCCCAGCCATTTTCTGTTCTGTAATACAAAGAGAAGGATACCCTTCTCTCAGGTTTAGGGAGAGGACTCTGAGATTAATGAACGTGAAAGTGCTTCATAAAGCTGAGAAGGCTTGGAGCCACGCAAGGGTCAGTACAGATCAAGGGAATGGATAGGGCCAGCAGGCAGATGTTTATCATTTGGAGCTGATAAGTATGCAGAGTATTGACTTTTTATGCCTCATTTACTTCTGAATAAAAGGTAGAAGTGGTGGGGCCCGGGTCTGCAAGCAGAGGATGGAGACTTTGTGTGTGCAGCGGGTGTTGTGGAGGCCCAGGGAGGAGGTCAGGAAATGAAAAGCAGGTGGCTCAGTCTTGGGCCTTGAAGCTTCCAGCTTCCTCACAAGGAAGAAGAAAAAGGCGTGCTAG